CAGAGGAGAGCAGCTTCTCCCCAGCACACTGGTCTTGGGGGAGGTGGGGTTGGGGTGGGGAACACACTTGGGCACTTAGCTGGGGTCTCCGTCGTTGCAGGGTACTGACACCACCGCTGTCACACACACAGTGTACCCATTTCCTATCATTTCACATTCTCCAAAGTTACTCACTCATTCATTCATTCGTTCAAAACTCTTTACTATGCCTTTACTAGGTGCTAGACACTGCTAGGGACACAGTAGTGAACAAGGAGGAAGGGTGCTTCTCATAGCAAGTGTATAGTCCAGTTTGGGAGCAACTACTTAGGGAGTACTTTTGGGATGAGCAGAGACGGTCATGTTTGGGGGAAAGCATGGGAAGACAAGAGGGCACAGCCAGTGCAAAGGCCCTGAGGTTGGGATGGATTCTCACTACAAGGTGCACGGAGGCCAGTGGCTGGATGGACCACAGTGAGCAAGGCCAGGGCAGCCTGAAAAGAGGCAGCAGGACTTGGATTTTATTCTAGTCGCAGTGGGAATGCCTTGGAGTGGATGGGAATTAAGCTGAAGTGTAACTGCCCCCCACCCCCGCTTTGAAACATGTTTATTACCATGGCTTTGTTCTTACAGATGCTCTTCAGACATTTCAAGAATTCTGGGGCTGGAGGGAGGAGAGGGAATTCCAGGGATGAGCCACTGCACAAGCAGCTGGAGAGGACAGCCAGGCTTTGCAGAAGGTGGAGCTGTCGAGACGGGGCGGGGGTGGGGGGTGCTTCCAGTACAAAGTAGCAGAAGCTAAGCAGAGCACAGGGAAGCCAGCCAGGACCAGCTTCGAGAAGGCCCCGACTGCCATCCTGAGGGGCAGGAGCTGCTCCTGAAGTCATGGGGCAGGGGAATGGGGGGCACTGAGGGCTACAGGCAGAGGAAGAATCTGCTGAGTGGTGACTGTGGTGAAGGCGGCGGCAGTGTGGGCAGGACGAGAGTCAGAAAGGCACTGAGGAGCCCCCGCCCCTGCCTGCTTGTCTGGGAGATGGGGTCAGGGTCAAGGGAGGACAGGGAAGACATGAGGGAAATGTTTGGAGGCTGCCTCCCATCTTCAGTGACTCTGCTACGTCTGTCGGCTCTCTGCTCGGCAGAAGCGTTATAGCTGTGTTCCTATTAAGGATGCAAGTATTTCACTGGAAATTGTACTCATCGTTCCCAGTGGTCTCTGTGCCAGGTAGGCCCCGCTGGCTTCTAGCAGCCGAGTGGTATTTGAGCAGCATCCCGTGGGCTTAATGGCGGTGGCAGTCATACAGGTCCCTGAAAGGCTCATGTTCCCTTGGGGGCAGGGCACAGCCCCCTCCTAAGGCCGGCAGAGGCAAAGGGCAATAGGGGCCCCTATTGTCAGCACTGCCCTACGTTCGCAGAAAGGCGTCACAGAGGGAGGCCAGGGCACAACCCGCCGATGCCCCAAGAGGAGTAGGCTGTGGGGAGCCATGGCCCCTCTGGAAGGGACAGAAGCTTCCTTGGGGACAGAGCCACGAAAGGCCCACCATAGTTGGAAGTGACCAGGGAGGTAGGGCTCGGGGAGTCTCTGGAATAGGCCTGGCTGCCAGCCTGACCCACAGTCCGGCCTCCTTGCTGGCCCTCCGCTGTGCATGCTCCTCTGCAGCCCAGCCCAGCACATGTGAGCTGGCAGCTGACGGGCAACTCCGAAGGCAGGGCCTCCCCGCCTGGCCTCTCCGCTCAGTGTCCTGACATCCTAGATGGCCTCTACCTCATAGAGCTTAGCACTGAGTGGTGGGGTTCCTGGGGTTCTGGTCATCCCCAGTCCCAAATCAGGAGTCAAGGTCAGAGCTGCTCAGTATCCAAGGACCCAGGACCCCTTACTTGAGATGAAAGCGACTATGGGCACAGTAGCAGGGTTCAGGGAACAGGAGGATCCTAGGCCCTGGTGGGCAAGGTCTGGGCCAGGAAGTGGGAAGGGAACCAGTCCTACATCTTCTTCCTCCCTGAGGGGACCAGCAAGCACCCCCTCACTCAGAGCCTCAGCTTCCCCATTGCTCAGGTGGTCAGTCATTCTGACCTCCAAGGGCTATTGGTAGCATAAAATGAGCTAATTCTCTGAACTCAGTCCTAAATCCCTTCCAAATATCAAGGCAGGTTACCTGTCTTCCTAAAGCTTGTCACACTGTGGGCTTAGAGCCTCACCGGGCCTGCATGGGGGTAGGTCCCCTCAGGGTGCACCCCAGACCAGCTCTGAGAAGTGCCGTTAGAGTGTGGGCCCTGGAGAGGCATGGTCAGGGTATTAAGAGAGCCTTGAGCCCCTCTTTTCTGGAGAGGCTCTGAGGGATGACCCCGAGACATTTTTCTTTCCCCTACCCTGTGCAGAGCAAAGTTGTACTGCTTCCCTCTGCCAACAAGGGGATGGGGCTGAGCCAGCCCAGAGTGTCCCAGAGCTGCGTAGGAGGTGCCCCCCCATTCCAGTTCCTATCACTGCTCACATCTGTTCCTTGTCTCCACTTACCCCCAAATCTTAGCCCCACCGTTGACACTGTGACTGCTACAGTAGGCTCTGCTTTCCATAAAGGAGCCCGAGTCATCTTTGTAAAATGCAGTGTCATTATCTTTCTATCATAACTCCATATCCTCCACTGCTCTTTGATTAGAACTGGAATCCTTCCTATTACTACTGAATAGCTATGTGGTCTGGCCTCAGGGGCCCTCTCCCCCAGCTCAGTCCTTGGAACACACGCCACTGCCTCTGACCCCAGGATGTTTGCACATGCTACTTTCTTTGCCAGGAGCACTATCCTGGCTTTGCTGAGCTAACTCCTTCTCATTTCTTGTCTCTGAGATGAAATGCCACATCCTTTAGGGACTCACCAATCCTCACCAAGGGTCCTCTTCAGCATCGTCATGATCTTGAAGCTGTTTTTGTGACTTCTGAAGTCTCTACCTCCTGACAGAGGGCCAGCTCTGGGCTGGTTCACTGCCAAATCCCAAATGCTAGCATAGTTGCTGGACATGCTGTGGGGCCAATAGCTTTCTCCTGGGTCTGCTGGGTACCTGCCAAAGTCTGTAGAGAAGGAGAGGCCAGGCCAGGCAATTCTGGCCCCCAGGGGTTGGTAGGCTCTGTGAAAGGCCAGGGTGGCTCAGTTGGAGAAGTCCTATTGTGAATCTGTAAGGGGCTTATTGCTGGCAGAGTGGACATCGCACCAGAGCTCAAACGTGGGGGAAAAGGCAGCTTTCTTTTGTTCTTATATTTGATGCCACCCTTGCTCCAGGATAGAAGGGAAAATGTGGCCCAGCCCATGAGAGGCTTTTCCCATTCAGAAGTCTTTAGGGGGAATAGTCAGGTCAGAGGGTAAGCCCTGACTCCAGGCTTGTCTTAGAGCTCAGGCTGCTCTAACAAAATACCGTAGGCTGGGTCGCTTAAGCAGCACACATTAATGTCTCCCAGTTCTGGAGGCTGGAAGTCCATGATCAAGGTGTCAGCCAGTTTGGTTCCTAGTGAGGACTCTCTTCCTGGCTTGCAGACATCCTCCTCCTTGCTGTGTCCTCACATGGTAGTGAGAGAGTGCACAAGGGAGCTCTCTGGTATCTCTTCCTCTAGGAGCACTGATCTCATCATGGGGACCTCCACCTTCTTGACATCATGTAACCCTATCTGCCTCTCGAATGCCCCACCTCTGAATTGCACTGGGAGTGATGAGTTGGGGCGGGGAGGACACGATTCAGTCCATGGCAGGGCTGTTCATCTCCTGGCCCTCCTACCCTGGGGTAGCCACCCTGCATCTGCACACGTCTGTCCCAGCATGCTTGGCCCTGGGCTGTGACCCTCCAGGCTGAGGGCCTGCAGTTGGGGTCAGTCCAGGTGTATTCTCTTTTCTGTAGCCAAGCAACATCTGCCCTCCTCTCCTCCAGGCCAGCGCTCCCTCCACCCCAGCCCCAGGCCAACCTATGAGCCAGCCCCCAACTATCCTGTTCACTGTCCCTGGATCCCCTAAATGTATCTGGGAGTTGCATTCCATTTGGGTCCTCCAAAACCACCCCTTCTAGGTATGAACCCATCCCCTCCCGGGTCCCAGATAGCAGAACCAAGCTCTCTCTACTTTTGGCTTCTTCCCAAATATCGGTGCTGTTTTTACCCTCCCTGCCCTGTCCCCCTAACCCTAAACATAGGCTGGGGGTCAGGGCTGGAAGGAGTACAGTGAAACCTAGTCATTCCGCCCAGCCTTTCTCTGCCCCCTCCTCCCTTCTGCCCCCTCCAGCTGCAGCAGGTCCTCCCAGTGTCACTGCCTTCTTTGCTTCTACACCATGACTTTTGGTCAAAGGCCATAAGCCAAACTGGCTGGGCTTGCCTGTGAGAGATAAAGCAATACTTGGGAGAATAAAAAAAACCCTTTCTCTCTTTTTAAAAGATTTTATTTATTTGAGAGAGAGCACAAGCAAGAGGAGCAGCGGAGGGAGAGGGAGAAGCAGGCTCCCTGCTGAGCAGGGAGTCACACACTGGGCTCTCGATCCCAGGAGAGCCTGAGATCATAACCTGAGCTGAAGGCAGATGCTTAACTGACTGAGCTACCCAGGTGCCCCCCACTTTTTAAAAAGATTTTTTTTTTAATTTATTTGACAGAGAAACCCTTTCTCTTAAGAAAAACTGGGTTTTAGGGTTGTTGTCTTATTGTGGACAAAAAAAGTCAAGTTTGACCCTCAAAGCTGGGCAAGGGTGTCTGTGTGTAGGGGTATGCACCCTGGCCTCTTCCCGTGACTTTATGGATGGCTATGATTTAGCGTGGTGACAAGTATGGTGTCTTTCTGTTTTCACCAGTACCATTCCTTTGCACATATGGGGAAATTCAGTGCTCACAAAGCTTTGTAAGACAGGGACTGTTAAGCCTGTTTCATGGAGGGCATGGCACAGTGTGGATGAGTCGGCAGGGCCTCCCCTGGACCCTCCCCTGGACCCTCCCCTGTCAGTGGCAGGTGGTCCTTGGGCCTGTGGTTCCTGCTAACACCTCCCCATTGTCTTTCAGGTCAACGAAATCTATCATGATGAGTCCTTGGGGGCCCACATCAATGTTGTCCTGGTGCGGATAATCCTGCTGAGTTACGGGAAGGTGAGTGAGCCCCTGGTGTCTTCCCCCCTTTTTTTTTTTTTTAAGATTTTATTTATTTATTTGACAGACAGAGATCACAAGTAGGCAGAGAGGCAGACAGAGAGAGAGAGAAGAGGAAGCAGGCTCCCTGCGGAGCAGACAGCCCGATGTGGGGCTCAATCCCTGGACCCTGGGATCATGACCTGAGCTGAAGGCAGAGGCTTTAACCCACTGAGCCACCTTCCCTGGTGTCTTCCTGATACTGCAGAGCCCCTGTTCAGTGTGGGATGAGGGAGCCCTCCGGTGAGGCACGGGCCTCCTCTGGAGTCCCAAACCCCAGGTCCTGTCCCCAGCTGCCCTGTGCTCCTGAAAGAAACAAGAAACATGTGTGCCACCCCCATATTCCTGACCCCTTTCAATTCCTTGTTTTAAAATGTAGATTTTGTTATTATTTGGCTGTGGGGAGGCCAACCCGTCAAGAGATGACTGCCATGGAAAAGACGGTTTGTCACCTACACAGGGCTATATGGGCAGGATGACAGGGTGAGTGGGCATAGGACTGGCCGGTATGAATAATTCTAGTGGACTCTGTGCCATAGTTTAGCCGACTATGTAGGTATGTAACAACTATGTAACAACCATAGTACATCCCTGAGGGTGATGAGAGTGTGAGATTCCCCTGAGGGAGGTGACTGGGGGTGCGGACTCTGAATTCATTGGTTTGCATTTGGAAAGCGTTCTCCAGAGCCAGTTGCTTAGTATCTGTAGGAATTGGCTGACCCCAGGAGGGTCAGTCCCTCCAGGGTCAGCATGGCCCCAGACTTCAAAGCATCAGAAACATGAGGACACTTGACCCCTCACCTCCCGCCTACCTCTTCTCCCCATGTCCTTCTCCCCTTCCTAGCTTCTCTGTCCTCCTCTGCATAGCATCTGCCATAACTAGACTCTCTTGCCCTTCCTAACCCCACTTGCTGTCAAACTTGGAACCGTCTTTCCTAGCAGCATGTGGGGTCTGTGCAGCAGGGGGAGAAAGACCCTAGTGACATGACCTGACACGGAAAGGTAAGGGGGTACAGAGAAAGGAGAGTTGGGGAGGAAGGAAGGAGCTCTGTGCCGGGCAGCTCAGAAGGATCTTACCCATGTTCACTCACTGAGTCCAAGGACAGATGGGGAGCTGGAGCTAGGATGATCCCCATTTCACAGATAAGAACACTGAGGCTTAAAGTGGCTTGCTGGTATTCTGGGTGAGTGGAGAGTGTCATTTGGCTCCTTGGGAGTTGGGCTTCTCACGCTCACAGCCAAATTCCAGAATCCATGGTCTGACGTCACTCAATATGTACAAAAATCAGTCATCAGAGATGGTAATCAGGTGCAGGGTTAAACTCCTCTGCTCAAAGACAGAGGGTCTCAGTCCCCAAAAATAAAATCCAACTGCACACAACTTACAAGGCCCATGGCAGAAAAAAATGACAATGAAGGGCCCATACAACTGGGTGAATTCCAGGAATAGTGGACCTTGAGCCCACTGTCTTTACCCAGAAAGCCTATCATTCCAGAGTAGAAGCAGCCACAGTTAGGGCACCAGTCATGGTCCTTTGTGCTCCCCACAGAGAACATAAAATATATCAAAGCAGACTGTGAGGACTAGGGAGAAATTGATGAAAACCTAACTGCAGGAATCTTTTATACTCTTTAAGACCTTTAACAGATTATATTTTGAAAGGCATAGAAGTTTCAAATAATAATAATGTATGAAGTTAAATTAGCAGTTTTATCATTTTTTTCTTTGCCCTATCGAAGTATGTGCCTTCTTTTTGAGGAATCATAGAACACTTGAAAATTACAAAAGTGCTTTAGGTTGTAAAGAAAACTGCAGTGAGTTTTATACAGTTAAAGCTGTTTGGGCTGTATTCTCTAACTCAGCACCCTAAAAATAGGGTGGAGGGAAAGGATATATTAACTGGGAAAAAAATCCAGTCTTTCTTTTTCTTTTTTTTTTTAAGATTTTATTTACTTATTTGACAGACAGAGATCACAAATAGGCAGAGAGAGAGAGAGAGAGAGAGAGAGAAGGAAGCAGGCCCTCCGCTGAGCAGAGAGCCCAGTGTGAGGCTTGATCCCAGGACCCTGGGATCATGACCCGAGCCGAAGGCAGAGGCTTTAACCCACTGAGCCACCCAGGCGCCCCGCCAGTCTTTTTTTTTTTTTTTTAAGATTTTGTTTATTTGAGAGTGAGAGAGAGCATGAGCAGGGGGGAGAGGCAGAGAGAGAGGGAAAAGCAGACTCCCTGCTGAGCAGAAGCACCCCCTCCCCACCAAATGCTGGGCTTGATTCCAAGACCCTCAGATCATGACCTGAGCTGAGGGCAGACCCTTAACCAATTGAGCCACCCACGTGCCCCAAATCCAATGTCTTTTAACATTTGAAAGATTACCAGCCTGGAGAGAGACTATGAAAGCTGCAGTTACTTAGAACATTAATGAAAATGATAGTACTAGAGATCAGAACCTATGAGGTGTGGCCAAAGCTGTATTCAGAGGCAAACTTGCGTTTCCCAGATCGCACAACAGAGAATGAATACACACTAAACTATTGCCATTGACTCAGTAAGGTTTACACAAATGTCAACAAGAACCACAAACCAAAAACAAACAAAAAAAAACAAACAAAAACAAAACAAAAAAAAACCTAGGGAGAACAAAAATAAGGAAATAAGTTTCAGAAAGACAGAAATGAAGAAATTAGGACATAGAAATAATCATAACAATCAACAGAGCTTTGGCCAAAGCAAACCTCTGCCATATGAATCTAGAAAAGGTGGGGGGGAGTACAAACTAAAAGATTAGAAAGGGTCTGCATAATAGAACCTACACCAGGGTGCTTACCTGGGCAGAAGAGGAAGTTGCCATTGTGGCATATGTGGAAGTTGCCACACTAGGCAGCTGCTAGACCTCCACTCGGGCCCACTCCCATCAGTGGAGGAGGCCACATGCACACCCTCCACCAGCTATAGGAGGGTTTGGGGAGGTGTGGGTGCAATTATATCCCCCACTCTTTCCCTTTACTGCTGGAGGGGGGAAATGGGAAACTTCAGGTTGGCCCTGGAGGTAAAAAGAGGACTGCACTGATTATCTGGGCACCAGGTGGCAGCTTACATGCCTCCGCCCCCGGTTGCCCCCATATTGGTTCAAAAGAAAGATTTGGAAATCGTGCACAGTTAATTGCTTTCTCGTGCTGGCAAAGCCTCGGGTCTTATTTAGCCTAAAAGGTGTTGATTTCCCAAGGAAGCAAACCCTGGTTTATTTTAACTACACCCTGTCGGGCTCTGTGCTAAACTGTCTGCACCCAAAGCCGTTTTTTCTTGTGGTTCTTCTTCTCCTCTTCACTGCTGTGGGGCAGTAGATAGTCATGACCCCAGTCCACCATTTGCAGAAGAGTCAGAACTTGAAGGTAGACAGAGATGCTGGCAAGTCATGGATTTCTTGGGAAATGAGAATATTTCAGAGCCGACTCCAAAATATGTATAAACCATGATAAGTCCCATAACCATAGTGGGAGCTCAAGTTCTCCAGCATTTTCCGAGTTCCCGAAAATTACCTCTAAATCGAGAGTCAGATTGTCTATTTTTGCCAATGCATTCTTATTCACTTTTAAGGAATTATTAAGCAAGGCTAATAGAACTCCACAGAAATCCTCTCAGAGCACATACATAGATATACTCTGACATCCACCCAATTTATTTTTATAGCCAGTGTGATTCCTATACTCAAAGCTGCCAAAGGTAGCATGTCCAAGACAATGTACAGACCTGTCTTCCTTCTGAAAATAGATGTAAAAATATCCCAAGGCTTTAAGAGCTTAATTCAATAACGCATAAAACGAAACTCCCACCATGATAAAATAGGGCTTATCCTGGGAATAAGACAATCGTTGACCTATCAGGAAGTCTGTTCATATAATTCATCACATCAGTTTGCCAAATGACAAAATTTCCTCATCTACCACATACTTCACAAAGGGTTTCTGTGTGCCAGGTTCTGTGCTGGGCTACTGAGGTGGTCTCCTACCTCCAGGCCTGCTTCTAGAGCAGAGGTGTAGACAGGGAAATGATTATAACAGGGGGTCAGAGACTCCTGGGGGGAAAGGTGGGGCAGGCAGGCCTCATGGGGTCAGGCCAAGCTACTGGAAGGGAGTAAAAGGGAGAAGAACCAGCGCAGGGATGTTTCCAGGACCCGATGTGCATTTCCAAGACAAACCCTGGACTCCTATGTGCAGAATGCGGGGCGGGAGCCTGGCTGGGGAAGGTGCAGGCACCATTGAAGGTTGGTCAGCTGTGGATTGTACTGAGACCATAACCATTGGCTGGAGTAAGGAAGACAGACGAAAGAGAACTTGCGGGGGTGTCTGGGTGACTCAGTCGGTTAAGCATCTGCTTTCTGTTCAAGTCATGATTGCAGGGTCCTGGGATCAAGTCCTGCATAGGGCTCCCTGCTCAGCAGGGAGCCTGCTTCTCCCTCCCCCTCTGCCTGCTGTTCTGCCTACCTGTGCTATCTCTCTGTCAGATAAATAAAATCTTTAAAAAAAATAAAATAGAGAGAAGAAAAAGAAAAGAAAGAGAACTTTGGTAGGAGGCCAAGTCTGGAGGGCATGGGTGCTGAGTGGTTGGATGAAGGTGCAGAGACACTGGGCCCAGGTCTTGGGCAGCCAGGTGTATCATGATGCCAAGCCCTGAGATGGAGAACACAGAAGAAGAGGGTGGTGGGGAGAAAGGCAATGAGTTCAGTTGAGATGTATTGAGTTTGAGGTGCCTCTTGCCATCCCAGTGGAGACAGCCAGGGAGAGGCTGGTGTAGGGGTCTGGAGCTTCGAGAGAAGAGCTGAGCATGGCTCACAAAGGCACCAATGGGGCGGGGGTTACAAGGAAGTATGCTGAGTCGGGGGGCAGCTAGGAAGGAGCCCCAGGAGCCCCTGACACTGAAGCATTGCTGGGGCAAGGGGCATGATCTGCATAGGAGCTGGGAG